CACAAAGCCCCCAGCCTTAGTTTACAATATAATGGAGCAGGGGCGATATGTAAAATAACTTACATGTAGCTGATGAAGGATAGAAGCAGAAAAATGTTCAACTTCAGCCTACAAGGCTGACCTGCATAGGTCCGATAAGGATCAAATGTGTGCTTGTTGCTGCATCCTGAAAGGGTCTCATGACTGCCTGGGCATGTCACTGCTAGCTAATATTGAACGGAATGATAAGCACCAGAGAAATCTTGTGAAAGCAGTTTGACGGGTAGAAATTCAAAGACATTTATGATCTAATGCCGCCTGCACATCCCTTCCCACCCCCACACGCTAAGCTTATAACCAAGAGCTTCATACAGCAAAAGTGTAGCCCTTTCTGCCCATGGGTCCTGTCCCCACGCTACTTAAATAAACTTACTAGGCTGCATCAGAAAACATCTCAAGAATTCTTTCATGGCCACTGCACTCGACAACCCCACATCACAGCCAACAGATTTTCTATATACCAGAAACAGAGGGCCTGGCTGGCTCAGTGAATAGAGCACAGCACCTTTCATCTCGGGGCTGTGAGTTCAAGCTCCACTTTGAGCATGGAGTCTACTTAAAAAAAAAAAAAAATGGAATAATATATGCCAGAAACAGCAATTTTGAAGACAAAATGGGGAACAAAGTCCATAAACAAGAACAGCCAAGGGGCACCAGGGTGGCTCAGTTGGTTAAGCATCTGCCTTCAGCTCAGGTCATGATCCCAGGGTCCTGGGCTTGAGTCCTGCTTGGAGCTCCTTGCTCAGTAGGGAGCCTGCTTCTTCCTCTCTTGCTCCCCCTGCTTGTGTGCTTGCTCCCTCTGTGTCAAATAAAGAAAATCCTTAAAAATAAATTAATAAAAATAAACATGAGCAGCCAAAATAACCTAGAACAAAGATTAAAAAAAAAATTGGCAAGCCTTTATGAAGAAACTTACAGAGCTTTTATAGGAAGATATAATAAAGAATAGAAAGTCATCCCATGTTCCTGGATGAGAAGACTCAATATTGCAAATATATTAACTCTTTCCAATTTCTTAAGTTTAAAGCAATTCAAGCAGCAATTATTGAATCATTGTGATATAAGCACATGTCCACCAACTCTAAAGCCCAATTAACAGCATTGTGGAAGAATTTCGTGTATGGCAGAAGCAGCACTTCAAGTACGAGGTCTGAAACAATGGGTAGTATATTTGGACAAACACATATTTCTTCCTCACAAGAGACACAAAAACAACTTCTAGTTGGATTAAAGATTTAAACATTAAAATAAACAAAAGTGACAAGAAGATTGAAGAAATATTTTCATATGGGAATAGGAAAGGAAGCCTTGTCTAATGTGCCACTAAGTCCCATCACCACAATAAAAAGGAGGGACATGGTTCATTAAGTGAGAAACAAAAATGTCTGCAAAAGAAGAGCCACCAGAAACAAAAAATTATAAAGTTCAGAGGAAAATATTTGAAATACATGTGATAGTCAAAGACAGCAATATTAATTTAGAAACAAAACAAAAAACAGGTTTCGGAAAAAATAGTATGCATGTATCCATTAATGTTAAATATAAAAATGTATCAAAACAATCCAATATAAATTAGATTATGACTATTGCTATTAATTATATAATAATTATTTTATACAATTATTGTTATTACTAGTAGTAGTAGTAGTAGTAAAAATAGACTTTTACTGACTGCTGTATTGTTTGAATTACTATAGTGATTAGAAGCCATAAGAAAAAATATATATAAATATTCTCATTTTGATGAACGACAGTGAGTTAAAGAGGGGTCCTTCAGAGGAGAACTTCAATACTAAACAAGGAGAATCCTCAATCAGTGAGTGCTTGAGGCGCCCCAGCTTAAGGAATATTTGCAAACTGCAGTGACCTAAGAAATTGCATGATTAAAATCCTGGCGACTTTCCCATCTGTGAGGCTGACCTGTATAAAGCAATGACAGTAGATTCACTAGTCAATGAAAGTAGTCATGAAGTCTAAAAGCTTGTGTTAAAAGAAATGGACAATCACGAACGTCCCATGTCTCCTTCCCATGGATCCAGCTTCTCGCCACTCATTGTGCTCCGCCCCCAAAGTTCTGGCAAACTATCAGGGGAGACATAAAAATGCCTGAGATGGGCGCCTGGGTAGCTCAGTGGGTTAAGCCTCTGCCTTCAGCTCAGCTCATGGTCTCAGGGTCCTGGGATGGAGCCCCGCATCCGGCTTTCTGCTCAGCAGGGAGCCTGCTTCCCCCTGCCTCTCTGCCTACTTGTGATCTCTGTGTCCAAAAAAAAAAAAAAGAAAGAAAGAAAGAAAAAGGAAAAATAGCCTGCGACATTCTATGATACCTGCTGTGGCTGTCATCCTTCTTCTCCGCATAAAAATAGACAACCAGGAAAATGGAGGACAAGGAAGGACAGAGGCAGAGGAGCAAAGAAGGAATGGATTCTCCGCTCTTAAAAGTTCAGAACAGGTTTTGGCAAGTCCCTGAAGAGAGAGTATATGAAAAGGAAAGGTTTGGGGCTAAAGAAGCCAACGTTAATGGCATAAATTGGGAAGAATGCCGGGGTGGTGGGAGGCTCCGCACCCAGCCTTGCAGGTGTGTGCAGAGGCTGGAGGAGGGCAGCGTGAGGGAAGCGGCCGCTTAGCCGGGGTCCCCGCGGCAGGTGAGGCGATGGAATGAGGTGACGCGCGGACGCTCAGTTCACTGGGAATCCAAGGGCCTGCAGCGCAGGTGGGATAAGGTCTGAGAGCTGCTCCCCACAGGACGACAGAGTGACAGCGTGACAGGAAGCGTGGTACCGCCATGCGTGGGCCGGAGGCCCGACACAGCCGCGGAGCCTCCCGCCGCCTCAGAGTGCAGGAGGCGGCAGGGGAAAGTTCTCTTCCAAAGTTTCCACAGAAGTGGCTGAGAGACGCAGAGGGCCTGAAGGGGCGTCCGTGAGCTGACAGAGACGGAAAACAGACGCGCGCAGCAGGCGCCCCCTTCCAGAGACGACCGGCTCGAGTCAGACCTCCCCACGCAGCCCACCCCTACCCTACACGCAGACAGGGGAAGGGGTGAAGCCGGAGCCAACCCAGGACACCGGCGTTGACCGGACGAACCCTCAGGCCGCGGGTAAAACGGGCTCGGAGAGACACACAGCCGTGGTGTCGCGCGGCTGCGGGGCTGAACGAGCGGCTGTGCAGAAGGAAGCCACCGCCCCTGCTTTACAGGATCGTGTCCGCGTAACCAGGGGACACCGAGCCGGGGAGACCCCATAAACAGCCTCCCACGCGTCCGACGACCGTTGTCCTTCCTGCAGCTCGTGATTTCGCTCCCGTCTCAGCCCCACTGGTTCCTAAGGTGCCGCCGCCGCTCAGTTCACTCAGCTTCGGCGGCGAGCGAGAAGGTCCCCGCGCACCGGCTCGGAACTAACCGGCTTCTCCGGCCCGCGTTATACGGTGTGGCCGGCGCTCTCCGGTCGGGGACCCCGAGACGGTCCCGCTGGGCGGGTGAGGCGCATCGATTCGGAATTTCCTTTGTGCAGAAGGACACGCGCCTCAACAGAGCATTTTCCGGGAGCTACAGTCCCGCCGGGTTTTGCTCGTCAAACCCCGTCTGACTCCGCCCACGGCGCGTCCTCACCTCTGCCGACCCCGGAAGGACACCGATCGACCCTCCCTTGGAGGAACACCACCGGAGCAACAGGGATCCTCATTTCTGGCTATCCGCTCACCCGCCGCACGCTAAGGGCCCCGCACGATTAATAAATCTGGCGACTGTCCCCGCGTTACAGACCAGGAAAGTGGGTCTCCGAGAGGCTAAGTCAGGACAAGGCGCCGAGTACCCGGCAACGCCTGTGTTTAACCCAACTGTGTCCGACTTTTCTCTCTCTCTCGACAGCTGATGGGACCATGACCTCTCCCGAAGCTCATATTTTAAAAATTCTTGTCAAGGAAGTGGAGATCCGGGACGACCAGTCATCCCGGCAGCCCCGCCCCGTCTCCCACCCGCCGCACCACAGCTTCCCCCGCCGCGCGCGCCCGCGCGCAGTCCCCCACCCCACCCGCCGGCTCTCGGGCCCTGAGGGAAGCCGCGCCCTCCGCACTAGGGGTTCCGGCCGCTCCAGGCAGCCGCAAACGGAGAGCTCGGCTCCGCGCCCCGGGGAGAGCTGGCGGCCCTTGAGGGCGGCGTCTGCACCCGCCACGGGGCCCGCTTCCCGGAAGAAGCCCGCGGGGCCGGGCGCGGGGCGCGGGCCGCGGTCTCAGCACCCGCACTGCGCGAGCTCGGCAGGCGCCGGCCCAATCCCGAGGAGTCTCCCTTCACGGCGAGCCTCCACCGCCCGCGTCCAGACCGCGAGCGAGGCGGAGGCAGGATGGGAGCGGCTCTCGCCCGCGCCGTTTCGTACGGGTTCAAGTTTTTGTACGGGTTTAGTTCCCCGAAACCGGGGTTAACGGTCGGACCCTCGAGTCCAGCGATCGGGCCGGAGGCGCTCGGGCGTGACGAACGCGACTCCGCGGCACCAAGTCCACCCCCATCGCGGGGACAGTTCCGGCTGCCCCTTCCGGAACCTTCGTCGTCCCAGCGGGAGGTCCGCGCCCCGCCGCCCGCTCTGCCCCGCCGCCCGCCGCCGCTCGGAGGGTCTCTGCAGCCGGACCCCCGAGCCGCCTCCCGCGCGAGCAGCCGGCGGTCCCTCTTCACGACCGGCTCGCCGCACTGGGTTCGGCCCCGCTCTCCAAGTGCCCGAATTCGCGTCTCTTCTGAGGCCGGATCCAGCGCGCCTCACTTGGGCCTTCCGCTCGCGGAGGACCTCGAGGACCACCAGGAGGGAGAAGCGCCCGCCCACCCCCGGCCCGTGCTTCACCGAACCGCCGCCTCCCAGCACCCGCTAGACCCGAGGGCCCGGCCCCCCCCTCCCGCCTGCCCGTCTCCCCTCCTCGCGCCTGCGCAAGCACCGCCCATAGCACCGCCCCAGCCCCGCCCCGAGGACGGCCGAGCGGTTGGGGCGGGCCGCAGCCGTCCCTTCCCTGGCGCGCGCGCCATGACGATCACCTACAGCTGTGTCGCTAACGGCCGCGCGGTCCTCGCCGAGCTGGCCCTGACCGGCGGCTCCTATCAGGTACCCCCGCATCCGGACCTCCGCCCCGGCGGCTCCCGCCTCTTGGAGGGAGGTGCCTGCCGGGCCCGCCCCTCTCCACGCCGCGCGGCCGGGCGGCCCCGAGCGGGAGGTGGAGGCTACAGGCCCCGCCCCGCGCGACGCCGGCCTGTGGAAGCCGCGGAAGCCGCGAGCGGCGGATCCGCAAGGCGGGGCCGCACGTGCGCCGCCCAGCGGTCGGGGTGGGTGGTGCACGCGGCCCGCAGGCAGCCATGGCAGCCATGGCAGCCCCGCGCGGTTGCAGTTGCGGCGGCACGTCAACAGTTCGTGTCCCCCGCGTCCGCAGGCAGTTGTGGGACGGCTGGTAGGTGCATAGTCCAGGGTAGAGCTGCGGAAGATGCGGCCCCGAGGAACAGGCGGGACCCGGAGTGGCGCCGGGATGAGCTCGCGGTCCCGTTAGGACCGAGATCGGACGCAGCTGTCGCACGGCGTGAAAGCCCTGCTCGCGGCGGGGCGGGGCTGCGGCGGCGGCCCGCGGACCCCGCACGGGTACTGGGGCGGCGGCTTAGCGGCCGCGTGAGGCAGGACGGCCGGAGCCGGAGAGGGAAGCGGCGACTCCGTGCGCGTGGAACGGGGCGCTGCGTGCGGGGCCGCGGGAGCGTCAGGGCGGCGGGGCGCAGGCTAGCGTGTGCGGCCGCAGAGGATGAGCTCGGGAAGGCCGAGACGCTGGCTCGGCGCGGGGCCCGGGGCGGCCGCAGGGTCGGAGCGTGTCTGGAGAACCTGCTCGGTTATGACGTGGGGGGAGGTCTGGAGCGGGAGAGCCGTTGGGACGGCGTCCTCACGGTCACCCAGCCGGGACCGCGTCCTCGCAGTTGCTGGGGAAGGCGGGCGGGGTCCGGAGGAGGAGGAGGGCGGATCCCGAAGAGACCGTGAAAGTCAGGGAGCTCGGTCAGGCCTAGGACGAATCTCGACGTGCTTTTCAGTCTCCGTCCCGAGTCGCGGAGACACAACTCAGGACGGCGTGTCAGCTTCAGGTCCACAACGCGATGATTGTCCGAGTTTTTCCTCAGGCGGCGGGAAACGGGATGGAAACCAGGTGGAGAAGCGAGGCGGTGAGGGAGGGGGTCGGGGTTCAAGGGGACAGAGGGCGCCGGGGACAGTTGAATGTTGCTGCCCGCTGAAGTGGCCAGTCTGTGTCTGTCCTCCACGTCCGTCCCCGACGGTTTAGGTCGCGCTCAGAGGGGCACGGCCGGTGGCTGAAGCCGGTAGAAGAGCGCAGAGAAGCCGGGAGTGAGGGGAGAAGAGGCCCAAGAAGCAGAGACTGTCAGGAGAGGACAGAGAGGGGCGACCTAGACCAGAGCCGCGGGTCCCGGACGCCCAGAGAAGAGAGTCCCGAGAATGTGTTCTGTGCTTTGTGCCCCGAAGCAGCTGAACAAGATCTAAAAGGTGCTCATTGGCTCCACGTTAGATGATCGCCCGAGGCGCCTGCGTGGCTCTGCCGTCGCCTCAGGTCAAGAGCTCAGGGTGCGGGGATCGAGCCCCGCGTCGGGCGCCCTGCTCAGTCTTGAGTCTGCTTCCCCCCTCTCTCCCCCTGCTCCTGCTCTCTCTCTCTCGCTCATTCTCTCGCTCTCAAATAAAATAAATAAAAATCTTTAAAAAAAAAAAAAAAAAAGATGATCGGCGACTTGCAGGCAGCAGTTGGGAAGAAGCGGTGGAGGCAGAAGCCGAATTGCTGGAGGCCAACTGCGTGGGAGATGAGGAAGGCAGGAGAGAGAAGTCAGACATTCCAGAAACGTAGACAGGGAGTGAGACAGGGTGAAAGCCGAGGCAGAGCCTGTCCAGGAAGGGGCCTGGTGTTTCAGAACAGGAAGGCGTCCTGCGCGTGCAGCTGCTGGGAAGCCTCTGACATCCAGCTCAGGTCCTGATCTTGCGGTTGTGGGATCGAGCCCTACCTCCGGCTCTGCGCTCAGTCCGCAGTCCGCTTCAGATTCCTTCTCCCTCTGCCCCTCCCAGCTCATGTGCCTTTGCTCTCTTTCTCTGAGAAGGGGGGAGAGGGAGATCAAGGGGTTGTGAGAGCAAGCCCCATGTGGGGCTCCCGGCTCAGTGCGGCGTCTGCCCGGGATTCCCTCGCTCGGCCCTTGCACCCACCCCGAAGCACCTGTGCTTGTTCTCTCACTCTCTCAAACAAATAATTTAAAAAAAAAAAAAAAGAAAAGAAAAAAGGAATGTGGCTATTCAAATGTTCCTAGGTAACCTTCAGGTTCCTTTCACACTTCTAAGGTAAATTAATAGGACTCCAGAAAACTAACTGTATTTGAGATATTCTGGATAATCGTCAACACCTTGCACATTTCCCCCCAGAGAAGGAGCCTTACAAGAAACAGAAATAAGGGACCCCGACAATTATTTGTTTTATAGAAAGAAATCAGTGAATAATATTGAATAAAAATTTTTATCTTAAAATGAAGAGAGAAGAATGCTGAAGAAAAAAGAGGAAGGGAGGGAAGGGGAGGGGAATGCTCAGGTTATTCAGAGAAAGCTGAATACTTCTTTAAGATTCGTTTTTATTCTAGAGAGAGAGCATGTACACAGGGGAGGGACAAAGGGGGAAAGAAAATCTCAAGCAGAGTCCCCGTTGAGCATGGAACCCCCACCCCACCCAACACAGAGCTCAATCTCATGACCCTGAGATCATGACCTGAGTCAAAATCAAAAGTTGGACACTTAACCCTGAGCCACCAGGCACCCCCAGGACTGAATACTTTTAATCCATGAACATTTTTAGGTATAGTTTCAGTGACTAGAGGTCACTGAAAAGATGTTTGATTAGATAGCACTACCCAGCCTTAAAGCCACGTGTCAGATGTGACTCAAGATTGATTCGTGTAACCTGTATTTGCACACATATAACTATACACACAACTATATGTATATCTGTGTAATTTTCATATTTTCCTTCAGATTCAAATGACTATTTCATAACTTGCTTCTTACCACACATTATGACTAACCACCCATTAGTTCTCCTAGTGAACACTTGGTCTTTAATAAGCCAATTAGACCATTGGTAAATTTAGAGAGAAGAATAATTAAAGACACTACAGTGTTCCACAAAGTAAATGCTGATCATTTATTTTTAGGAAGCAGTGGCGACCATGCTTAAACTAGTGCTTCTTAGAGCAGAGCCAAAGACCATAATGCAGATGGGAAGGTAAGGTCTATTCTCATAGAAGTCAGCTTGCTTTTTGACAATAGTAATGACATTAGGGAAAATAAGGTCAGTTGCACATGCTCTCGAACCCTCAGAAAGGAGAACTGTATGTAAAAGTGTAAGATCAAATGAGAGTGATGAACACCAAATTCAAAATAGTGGTTACCTCTCCAAAGGGAAGGGAGAAAAAATGAAATGGGGGAAGGGTATCCATGGGACATGAATCGTATCTGTAACATTTTAAACAGATGGTGGGTCTAAAGTATTCTTGTTGTCTTATTTTTCAAACTGTTTTTAATATACCCAAAATATTTCATTAATGAAAAAGGAAACTTCCACTTGAAAAATCTTTAATAAGACCACTCTAAGCCACTTGGGACGTTACAAGGTATGGCCTAAACCAATCTTGACACCATTTTACTAGTAAAACAACAGGTGGGAAATAAGAGCATCTATTACTTCTGGACTCATTTTTTTTTTTAAGAGCAGGTTTGTTTTAACCTTTATGTTGTAAAATAGGACAAAATACAAAAACTCATCAAGCGAAAGTATAGCTTTATGAAGCTTTACAAGGGAATCTCCCCACCAACTACCACCTCAGCCAAAAATACGGACTAGTGCCAGCCATCCCCAAAACTCCCCACCATGTGCCCCGTCCCATCCACAGCATTCCGACCCCCACAGCACTTAACCTTGGGTCTTCATCACCTCATCACCTAAACATGCAACCTCAGGTACAAGAGCCTGATCCTGCCTAGTTTTTTTCTTTTGGTGTCTTTTAAATCTCTCTAATCTTTATTTCCCCACCCATCCCTCTCCTTTCCTTATAGTTTACCATTGAGGAACCTGCAGAGCGTAGTTTCCCACTCTCTGGCTCTGCTAACTGTATATCCAAGATGCAGTTGACAATGCTTCACGCAGCAGGGTCCACAGGCTGGATCCCTTTTACAAGGCGAGAGGTGTTTTTTTCCATCAGATGGCACATCTGTCTACCTCTATCTCCTTCTGACATGCTAGCAGCCAGTGATATTCCTTGCCTGTACCCTAGAGCCATTCATTGATTGGGGAGCACAAAATGCTGACATTCTAGTTTTGTTCTCACTTATTAGCCAGCGTGATTTCCAGAGGAGATTCTTTTCTCGTCTACTATTTGCTTTCCTATATTATGCATTCTGATTTGAATCTTTGGAAGATCTCTTCCTGAATTCCTAAGTCCTATATCCACCTGACTATTCTGTGTCTCTGTTGGATGTCTCATGGGCATCTCAAACTTATGTCCAAAACCAAGCCCCCGCTGCCCCCGCTGCAGACTTCCACATACTATTTTTCTAGTTCCTCAGGCCTGAAACTTTTGTGACCCTCGAATTCTGGCTCTTTGACATCCAAACGCAATCCATCAGCAAATCCTGTTGCCTTTCCCTTCCAAATATCCAGAATCTAACCGCCTCCAGCCCTACCATAGGAGCCACGCCACCATCATCTCTCTGGGTTCCTCCATACAAAGTTAGGTTGTCATCATGGTTTTTTATTTTCAAGGATTTCTCTCTCAAACCTTGATTTAATAGCCTTTGTAATTAAGCAAAATATGCATGTGGTTCCAAAGTCAAACTGAAAAAAACAAGTTTTCTGGTTCCAAAGTCAAACTGAAAAAAACAAGTTTTCTTTAAGAAGTCTAACTTTAGAAAGAAGAAGAAGGAAGAGAAGGAGGAGGAGGAGGAGAAGTGGGGGAGGAGAAGGGGGAGAAGTCTAATTTTCATTCCTTTCCTCTCCACATTGTTCTCCCTTCCCCCCAGACAGGTAACCATTTTGACAAAGTTTTCAGTTTGTCATTTTCTTTTTTTCTTTTCTTTTCTTTCCTTTTCTTTTCTTTCCTAGAAGAGACACATGCCTATATAGCATTTCTCTTCTGGGAGCATATGAGAATGATAGATAAATGGTACTACCTCATACCTTTGTTAATTACAATGTATCCTGGACTTTGGGTATTCAAGTTTTTTAACTTTTAAGATGGCTTCTGAACGTCACTCACTAATAACATACTAAGCATAAATTTAGAATATTTCCTCCCTCACATCCAATATCAACTTATTCAAATCACATATATAACTTTCAGAGAGATGATAGAATTAGCAACTCTTTTTCAAAAAAGACTCCTCACAACTTAGAATAAAAATATTTTCCGGGGCGCCTGGGTGGCTCAGTGGGTTAAAGCCTCTGCCTTCGGCTCAGCTCGTGATCCCAGGGTCCTGGGATCGAGCCCCACATTGGGCTCTCTGCTCAGCAGGGAGCCTGCTTCCCTTCCTCTCTGTCTGCCTCTCTGCCTACTTGTGATCTCTGTCAAATAAATAAATAAAATATTTTTAAAAAAAAAATTTTCCAAGTGGAGGTTATGTGTATCAATCAATATAATCATTAAAAATATTCGTAGCACATTATATTCATGATATGATATGAAGGATTTATATGGTAAGGGCAGGCACATACTTTAAATTTTCTGCCTCTGGGATTATCTTTTTTCCCTGTTTCTGAGATTCGTCATTTTTGTGTATATCCAATTTAACGTTTTTCCAGGTCTACTGCCTGCTAGCCATTTGGATATAGAATGTTCAGAATGACAAGATTAAAATCTAGGCACCAAGCAACTATTTCTGTTGCCGTATTTTTAAATTTTCTGGATTGTTGGGCAGTAAAAATGGAGGCACTTTCCAAGAGTCTTCTAGCTTCTTAATATGTGACTCTGAGAAGGCATAAAAGGTCAGGTAAGATACACTATCACATACTATAAGGAAGTTTAATTTCCCCCTCTCCAGTTCATCGTGTTCCTCAGAATATTTAGTATTGGTTGTTTATAACTTTTAAATTCTAATCTATCATAATAGAAAGCTAAGAAACTCCAAAATTAAATGTGTCTACCTAAAGATACAGGGAAAGTAAAAATCAGTGAACATAGCATTTTCTATTTGATGACAATCTTTTTTTTTTAATGACAATCTTTATTCACTCTTAGAATGAGTGCTAGCTATAAAAAGCCATCTTTTAAAGATTTTATTTATTTATTTGAGAGAGAGAGAGCACAAGCCCTGCCTTTGGGGAGGGTCAGAGGGAGAGGGAGACACAGACTCTCCGCCGAGCAGGGGGCTGTATTGAAGGACCCCAGGATCATGACCTGAGTGGAGACAGATGTTTAACTAAGTCCCCCAAGTACCCCTACCAAGGCCATTTTAAATATAGATAGATAAATAAATGGATACAGTTTTCTCTTGATTGTATTTTATTTTATTGATGACATCCTAAATACATATTCTAATTTTATAGTTTTTATTTAACATAATTTAATCTTTCATATATATGAAAGATTGTCTAGTTCTCATTATAAAAAGTTATCTACAGAGCTTGTATACTACTGAGAGCTTGAAAATAGTATCTCTGTAAGGGTACTTAATTTCTTCAATGTTATCATGTAAATTAATGTATTCTTTTCAAAGCTTTGTCTACCATACTCTCTTTATTGATGGAATCACTTACCTATGTGCTACAGACAATGCCTTGGATACCATAACACCATCTGCATTTCTTAAAAACGTAAGTAATTTCTTATACTACTTTAAGGACTTTCTCAGTGATTGAAATTATGAGGTCTCTGTTTTATAGTGTGCTAGTAAGAGTGTCAATAACTAAAAGCAGATCATTTGTCTATAAAGCAGAGCTATTAATGACCTTCAGAGATTTCTTACCCTTATCCTTCATCTGCCCTGTTTCCACACTTCTCCCAACCCTAAAGCAAGGTCTGCAAAGACTGCCCACACAGATCCATTAGACTCTCTCTTTGTATTTATCTTGTTCTTTCAAACTAAGAGAGAAATTAAACTTTACTAATATTTATTTTACCATTTCAATAGCATGTGTATTTAATTTACAAATAGGGGTGCCTGGGTGGCTCAGTCAGTTAAGCATACAACTCTTGATTTTGGCTCAGCTCATGATCTCAGGGTTATGGGATCAAGCCCCACATCAGACTCCCCTGCTCCGCGGGGAGTCCTCTTGGGATTCTCTCTCTGTCCCTCCCCCTCAATCATGCATGCTCTTTCTAAAATAAGTAAACAGATCTTTCCTAAAATAAAAAATAAGTAAAAAACATTAATGGAAAAAATCAGTCAGCAATACTATAGTGACTAACAGATATTCTCCAAATTCATGAAACATGCATATATTTAATTAGTGTACTGTCTTGCTTTAACACAACTCAAACTGTAACCACATATAGAATCAAGGATTATAAGGACTAATACTGAAATTCACTCTTCAGATACACTTGAATAACTGTTAGAGTGTAGATGCTAACCACTGTTAGCGATTTAAGTGACTATTTAAAATTATCCTAATTTTCCTCCCTCTCTGCTATTGTGACAAAACATTTGAGCTTTACCACCGTTGCTGGGGAATGCAACACTGAGTACGAACAATTGCAAGAATTCCTTCTTGAGACCTTGAAATATCCTATGACAACCATAAGCGTTTGGAAACAGAAAAAAAAAAAAACCATAAGGGTTTGAAAGATAGTACCATGACATTCCGCTGGGATTGTTTCTTCATCGTTGAATGGCTTTGGAGTGGGGGAGGAGGAAGGCAAAACGAAAAACACTTACTTAGAAAACATCATGGACTCCTTCTTTGTGTGCCAGAGGTGAGCACCTGCTCTTGCTTTTGAGTCCGCAGGCATACCAAAGACTCAGAGTGGTATTTGCAGCCTCACTGCCTGAGCTTGTGATCTGTGCGAGAGCCACAGAGAAGACCGGGCAAGCACAGGTTTCGTACATAACAGCATCTTCGATTGGAAAGGACACCCTGCCACCAAAAAGCTAGAAATGGTGTGGCAATAGAATATTCTTCTATTTCACATTTCTGCCAGACTCTGCTTCAAATAAACATTTGCTCTGTGATTCGCCAGTTGAAATTATCTATATAGGTTAAATATTTCCATTAATGTCCCCAGGTTAGTGAAACTTTTCTGAGAAATCCTTTGATGTCGCAAGAACATTTTTCTCCTTCAAATGCAGTTGCTGCAGATTTTCAACAAGTATTAGGAAAGTATATGGTATGTAACCTCCAACTGTACTCCTTTTTTTTTTTAAGATTTTATTTATTTATTTGGCAGAAATCACAAGTAGGCAGAGAGTGGGGAAAGCAGGCTCCCTGCTGAGCAGAGAGCCTGATGCAGGGCTCGATCCCAGGACCCTGTTATCATGACCTGAGCCAAAGGCAGAGGCTTAACCCAATGAGGCACCCAGGCGCCCCTCCAGCTGTACTCCTCAACATTGTATGAAAGCTGACGGAACAGTTTGGAATTAGGAGATAAGAGCTGTAAAGATGAGTGAGAATTGAGAATTTATATCTTTATATAATGATAAAGAATGACATCCTTGATATATGGATAAGTGGATAAAGCAAGAGAGAGAAAGTTTGTACGGTATACTATTATTTGTTTACCATTCTTATTTGCAACCATTTGAGAAAGAGAGAATAAATACAAATATGTGTTTTTGTTTGCTTATAGTGGAAAAAAGGGATGACAGCAAGAAAAGGATAAACCACAAACATTTTAATCTTTGCCTATTTAGGGATAGGGGACAAGAATAGAAACTAGGCCTCCCTGAATGAAACTTGTTTTGGAGATTTGACTTTGGAATGGAACCATGTAAATATTTTACATAATTATTAAATACTACTAAGTATTTAAATAGTTGTCCTCAGAGTGAAATAAGACAGTCACAAAAGAACAAATACTGTGTGATTCCACTTATATGAAATACCTAAAGTAGTCAGATTTATAGAGACGAAAAGTAGTATGGTTGTTGACAGAGCCTGGGGGAAAAGTATGAGGAGGAATTAGTGTTTAATGGGTACAGAGTTGGGAATGAGTTTAATGGGTTCAGTTTGGGAAGATGGAAAATGTTCTAGAGATGGTGGGGGTGGGGTGGTAACTGTACAACAATGTGAATATACTCAACGCCACTGAGCTAGATAGTTAAAAATCATTATAATTATAAACTTTGTTATGTATATCTTACCATAATAATTTTTTTAATTTTAAAGTGATCCCGAAAACTCAAAAGCAAAAAAAAACAAGAACCTAATTGTGTATTGAGCTGATGGCTCGAAAGACAGTGAAAATTTATTTCAAGTGACTTTAAAACACTATAATTTGATTGTGTATTCCTAGTGAGATTATACCCTAATGATAGAAGAACTAAAAATAAATCTTAAAGTATTTATTTTCAAGTACCACATTGTTAGTGATAACATTGGTGTTGCTATTCTAAAATTGGTTTATATAGATATATTACTTTGAGTAATCATGTTAATGTCATTAGGAATCAAGATTTTCAGTAAGAGTTGCAAATATAAAGTCAAAGAATTAAGTGAAACCTTATAATCCTAAATTTTAATTGAAAATTAAATATTTTTTAAAAGAAAATCAAATAGTGAAAATTTTTAATTGAAAATTAAATACTGAATTTTTTTCTTTTTTTTTTTTAAGATTTTATTTTTAAGTAATCTCTACACCCAATGTGGGGCTCAGACCCATGACCCCTAAGATCAAGAGTTACATCCTCTACCAACTAAGCCAGACAGGCACCCCAAGAATTTTTTCATTGAAAATGTATCTCATGATATATTTTCTCAAAAAAAGTATTTCCTAGCCTATCCACTGCAAAACATTAGAAATAGCAAGCAACCCAGGAGCAATGTGCCCCCTTAGCATCTAGATTATAGTCTCTAAATACCATTTTACACTAGAGGAACCAGGCCTGACTGCAGATATCAGGGAGGAAACATGTAAGCCAGAAGTACTTTGTCATACCAGAAACAAGAAAGCTACCAAAATTCACTGTGCTCATGTCAAAGGCTTTAGGAACCAACTTAAAAAGGCTAACACTGGTCAGTGATGGAATAACTTGAACATCGTAAAGAATAGTAACTGCAGTGGGTTGTAACATATCAAATGTCTTAAATTCCATGAGTTCTAGATACTATCAAAGACGAAATAATTCCTCACCAGTCAACTCTGGAAGATACTAAGGATCTATCTTATCACTCTAGAAACCAATAAATAAAAGACTCAATCTGTTCTGACTTTCCTATTTGAACTGTACCTCAAAGAAAACAAGTAGTTGGTAGGGAAAAGGTTTTTTTGGTCTTAATAGATGTATTCCAGCTGATAAACAAAGAAGAGGTGATAAATTTTACTATTTTATAATCGCTGATGAAATCATGGACCTGAGCAGTCATCATCAATGACTAAAAATATTAGGTGAAAAGCTGATGAAGAACTTCATAACAGATGAAATGGCTCAAGACACCCAAACCCACTGATTATTCCGAGGGTCACAATAAGGGAGATGATCGATCTTTAGTTATGTTTCCTACTATTATACAATGAGTAGTATACAGCACACGTCTGAAGTATGCTTGCCCAAAACATCAAACCTGAATATGACCAAGCCTTTATACCCAACTACCAGTTTACAGGAAATCAGGGACCACATTAAATGATACCACATCAAAGCAATCAGCAAAATCCAGAATATGAGAAAATCTACAAGACAAAGAATCCAATTTCTTCAACAAATAAATTGCAACAGTGAAAAAGTTAAGGAGAACTCATAGATTAAAAGAGACACATATCCACTAAATGTGGACTTTGGATTCTGGATCAACAAAACAAACATTTAAAAAAAACTAAAAACTATGATTTTTTATAAATTTGTACCCAAACTGGATGTTTGATGATATTAAGAAATTTTTGTAGATGTGATAATGATGTTGTGGTTTTATTTTTAAGAAAAATGAGGTCATATCTTTTAGATATGTAAACTGAGGTGTTTACAGATTAAAATAATATACTGTCTGGGATTTGCTTTGAAATAATACATTTGGGGAAGGGGGAATCAGTAGTAGTACAGATGAAACAAGATTGACTGTGTTGATATTAGGTGATGGGTACATAGAGATTGATTATACTGTTCACTCTGCATTTGTGTTTGTTTGAAATTTTCCATAATAAAATATTCTAAGTATACCTTTTTAGTATTATATTATATTATATTATATTATATTATATTATATTATATTCTCTTACAAATCAGCAGCCTAAAACAGCACACACTTACCATCTGATAGTTCATGTGAGTCAGGAATCCAGACCTCACATAACAGGTTCTCCTCTCAGGGTCTCCCAAAGCTGTGGTGAGTGTTATCGGACAAGCTATACTCTCATCTGGGAGCTCGAGAAGATTCAGCTTCCAGGCTCATTGAGAACCTGTTGCAGGATTCATTTCCTTAAAGGATGCAGCTTTTTGCTGGCTGTTGGCCAGGGGACACCCTCAGGTCCTAGAGACTGATAATAGTTTCTTGCGGCTTTGCCAGTCTCAATATGGCTGCTTCCTTCTCAAAGGCACCAGAGGAGTCTCCCTACACCAGTTTACTAAATTTTATATGTGACATAGTCACAGGAGTGACACCCCCATCATCTTTGCTATTAGTTAGAAACAAGTCATACTTGCGGGGGGAGGTTTCAAGAATGTGATGCATTGGGTTTCCCATAGGCTGTGTCCACCACAATGCCTGAAAAATAACTAAGGATAGATGCTTTTATAGTAAATTCATAAATTTTCTTATGAAGAATTCTGCAGATTCAACACAGCCAAAATATATTGACATAGCTCCCTGAAAACTAGTTACCATATGAAAATATGCACATTTCGAGCAGTTAACACACCTGACGTCAAAGAAATTTCTGTTTAACATTTATAAACTAAGGTAAGCATTAAATCTGTAGAAAATTTTATAAAAGTTGTTGAATTTCTAAAAAAAAAAGTTGAGTTTCTTACACAGTAGTTAACAAAATAAAAATAGTTTGGAGAAATTTAAATATGTGTGTGTGTATGTGTGTGTAGAAGCTGAATGCCAATGAATGGACTATGAATACATTATCTTAACAAAATTTAAATGATTCCCTCAGGTTAAAAAAGATGAAGCATTTTTTATAAGGAGAGAAAGAAAAAAAAGGAACAAAAAAAAGACGAACCATTCATCTGAACTTGATTATATCTGCAAAGACATTTTTTCCCGGGAAGGTCACATTCCTAGCCAACTGGTGTTGGGAATTGCACATATCTTCAGGCGAGGGACACAATTCAACTAGCAACCTCTTCTTTCTATACGTACCTAGCGAGCCCCTCACAGACCATCAGCTGTAAATTGCATGCTCCAGTAACCAGCAAGATCAGAGTTCTGTTTAAGGTGGATTTGAGGGGCTCCTGTGTGGCTCAGGTCATGATCTCAGGGTCCTGGGATCGAACTCCGAGTCGGTCTCCCTGCTCAGTGGAGTCTGCTTCTCCCTCTCCCTTTGCCCCTCTCCCTGCTCATGCTCACTTTCTCTCTCTCTCTCTCACCCTCTCTCAAATAAATAAAATCTTTTTTAAAAGGTGAATTTGATAACTTGCCAAAGAGCAGAGGTTTTTAATATTTTTTAGTTTAAAAATAAGGCTTATTAATAAAGTAAAATAACACAAAATATATAAGGCAAAATATGAATGTCTCCTACAATCTCAATCAAATCCCCTGAAGTGAGCATTCTTAACAGACAGCCTAATGTGTAACCTTCCAGAATTATATATAAATATGCATATAGACAAATATATAATAAATGTATGAGAATATACATTTTATATGCATATGTTTATAATATATATAACATAAGTTTATACATAACTTTTAAATTCACAAAACTGAGGTCATTAATGCAGTGGGTTAAAGGCTTAATCTCTGGAGCTTGACTGTCCTTGTTTGGCTGCGTAACAATTTGGATACCTTATTACTTTCAGTCTCCGTTTTCTTTTTTTTTTTTAATTTTAATTTTTTTTATTTAATTTTAATTTTTTTAATTTTTTTTAAATTTTAAGTGCACTCCACAACCAATGCAGGACTTGAACTCAAGACCCTGAGATCGAGAGTCAAGCACTCTAGCAACTGCACCAGTCAGGCACCCCTCAGTTTTCTTCTTTAGAAAATAAAAGATGACAAAAATATTACTTTATCAGGTGGTTTGGGAATTAAGTGAGTTAATATGTGTGAAGTGGTTAAGACAGTACCTAGCACATATTAAGTGCCCAATAAGCTATGATTTGATATTGTTCTGCAGCTACGGCTTACTTTTTTAATAGAACACTCTCGTAGAGATCATTTTTGTTAATATGGATAAAATGGAAGATATAAAGAGGAACAAAGGACAAGAACAATGAAAGGAAAACAGTAACAAATATGGTAAATATTAGTCCAACTATATCAATAATCACGTTAAAAATTAATGGTCTAAAAAAATAATGGTCTACATACAGTTCATTATTGCTCTTAACTGGGGACACAGATTATCAGGTTAGATCAAAAAACTGTCAAGAGAATGAGAAGACAAGCCACAGACTGGAAAAAAAATATTTACAAAAGACACATCTGATAAAACTACAGACTGGGAGAAAATATTTGCAAAAGATACATCTGTTATCCAAAATACATAAAGAACTCTGAAAACTCAACAATTAGATGATAAACAAGCTGATAAAAAAATGGGCCAAGGGGAACACCTGGCTGGCTCAGTCGGTAGAGCATGCGACTTCTTGATCTTGAGGTTGTGGGTTTGAGCTGGATGTTGGATGCAGAAGTTACTTTAAAAAATGAAGTCTTGGGGCGCCTGGGTGGCTCAGTGGGTTAAAGCCTCTGCCTTTGGCTCAGGTCATGATCTCAGAGTCCTGGGATTGAGCCCCACATCGGGCTCTCTGCTCAGCAGGGAGCCTGCTTCCTCCTCTCTCTCTGCCTGCCTCTCTGCCTACTTGTAATCTCTGTCTGTCAAATAAATAAATAAAATCTTAAAAAAAAAAAAATGAAATCTTGGGGCGCCTGGGTGGCTCAGTGGGTTAAGCCTCTGCCTTCCTGGGATCGAGCCCCACATCGGGCTCTCTGCTCAACGGGGAGCCTGCTTCTTCCTCTGCCTGTCTCTCTGCCTACTTGTGATCTCTCTCTTTGTCAAATAAATAAATAAATCTTTTAAAAAGTAAAGAAATAAATAATAAAGTCTTTAAAAATAAATGGGCCACTGAGCTGAATAGATGCCTCCAAAGAAGATGTACAGGCAGCAGATAAACATGAAAAGATGGTCACATCCTGCATCATTAGGGGATCGCAAATCGAAGCGACGGTGAGATAGACTACACACATACAGAAAGGCCGAAATTCACCCTGGGCCAGAACCTGATGCTGACTAGGAGCTCATACTCGCTGCTTGTGGGATGCAAAATGAAACAGTCACTGTGGAAGACAGTTTGGCAGTTTCTTAGAAAACTACACACACACTTACCATGCGCTCCGGCAGTCGCAACCCTGCTATTCACACGAAAGCTTGCATGCACGTGTTAGAGCAGCTTTACTGATAATTGCCAAGACATGGAAGAGCCAAGACTGACCTTCCGTAGGTGAATAGGTAAACTATGGTACATCCAGACAACTGACTGTTATTCAACACTAAAAAGAAATGAGCAAGGAAGCCATGAAGAGATATGGGGGAATCTTCAGTGCATATTAATAAGTGAAAAAAGCCAATATGAAAAGGCTACTTGGTTCCAACTATGTGACATTCTGGAAAAGACAAAGCTGTGGTGACAGGAAAAAGACCAATTGTTGCTAGGGCTTAGGGAGAAGGGAGGTGTGAACCAGTGCAGCACATCATTTTTAGAGCAGAAAAAAGATAAGGTCACATCAGTTTATACAATCTACAAAGGAGAATCAATAAAGTAAATCATTGGGGTGCCTGGGTGGCTCAGAGGGTTGAGGCTCTGCCTTCGGTTCGGGTCATGATCTCAGGGTCCTTGGGATCGAGCCCCACATCGGGCTCTCTGCTTGACGGGAAGCCTGCTTCCCCCTCTCTCTCTGCCTGCCTCTCTGCCTACTTGTGATCTCTGTCTGTGACAAATAAATAAATAAAATCTTTTTTTAAAAGTAAATCATTGTCTAATAGGGCAGTGAAACTGTTCTGTGTGATACTGTAATGGAGAACACCTGTCATTACACATTTGTCCACACAAGGGAATGTACAGCGCCAGCAGTGAACGGTGATGTAAACCATGGACTTTGGGTGATGAGAAGACATCAGCGGAGGCTCATCCATAGCAGCAAATGCACCGCTGTAATGTGGGATGTTCATAGGGAGCTGGGGGCAGGGGGCTGGAGGGGACAAGAGTAGGTGAGGACTCTGCTTTCCACTCAATTTTACTGTGACCCTAAAACATCTTTCTAAAACACTATATAAATATATAAATAAATAACTTTTTTTAAAAAAGCTTCCACCACTGATTGTATACATTGAAATATTGATCTCCGGTCCAACCCCCAGACCCTTTTCTCAGCAAGATTAAGGTGGGACAGTCTGAAGCTTGGTTGATTTCTTATGCTGAAAAGCAAGTGAAATATACTTTTGACACTTTTGTTCAATTTGTACAACATATTGTAATAGATTTCAATTATAGAAAATAATATTTGTATTATCTTTCACTTCTGTATAGATGAAATACAATAAAAATCAAGATGATACCCCGATATCTACACTGAGGAGTCAAGTAACTGATGTAAAAAATATTATGTCCCAAAATATTGATGAAATTTTGGAAAGCGAAAACAGATTGAGTATCTTCACTGATAGAACCGATGATCTCCAGACAACTGTAAGTGGTGCCACCTGTCTTGGTATCTCAGTGGGCTCAAAACGGCCAAACGCACGTACATACCAGGGATACTGTGGGATCATCCTATGTTGCCGAATTATGGCTTTGTCAGAAAATTATTGGAATGCAACTAAAATTTCTTTTATAAAACAATGAAAATTAAAAGCCCATTAAAATAGTAGGTAGTTATCAGCATAACAGATACATTTCCTTTTTTTTAAGATTTTATTTATTTATTTGACAGAGATCACAAGTAGGCCGAGAGGCAGGCAGAGGGGGAGGGGAAAGCAGGCTCCCCGCTGAGCAGAGAGCCTGATGTGGGGCCAATCCCAGGACCCTGAGATCATGACCTGAGCCGAAGGCAGAGGCTTTAACCCGTTGAGCCACCCAGCCACCCCAGCAGATGCATTTCTTACATTAAGAAGTACACAGGTTAGTCAATAAATTGCAAGGGAAGTAGAAGTTACCAAAAAATGGGTTGAGGATGTGTATCAATTGCAGTGTGTGGTCCTTATTTGGAATTTGACTCAAACAATAAAAATGAAAATTTGCAACTTCATGAGATAATTAGATATTTGAACTCTGACCTGATATTAGATAACTTAAGGAGTATCATTAATTCTTAAGTGTGATAATGATACTGTTCTTTAAAGAGTCCTTACTTATTAAAGATACATATTAAAATATCTCAAATGAATTTATGTAATGTCTGAGATTAGCTTCAGAATAGTTCAGGAGTAGAATGGGGTATAAAGGAAACAAAATTGTCCATAAATGGGCGACTGTTAAAACTGGATGTTGAAGGTGCCTGGGTGGCTCAGTCAGTTGAGTGTCTGACTTGGGATCAGGTCATGATTCTGGGGTCCTGGGATTGAGCCCCAAGTGAGGCTCCCTGTTCAGGGGGAAGTCTGCTTCCCCCTCTCGCTCAGCACCCCTCCCCAGCTCATGCTCTCTTTCAAATAAATAAATAAAATCTTAAAAAAAAAAAAAAAAACCTGGATGTCAAGTATATAGGGTTCATTATGCCATTTTGCATATGTTCAAAATTCTCTATTAGCAAATACTTTTAAGGCAATCAGTAAGGGTTGAATACCTTAGAGCATTTTAAAATTTAATTTTACAGATCTTTTCGAGAAACACAGCCACCATGTAAAACAAAATATACACATACTTTATACTCACCAAGTCCTATCAATTCTACCTCCTAAATCTTTTTGTTCTTGGTCTCATTTTTTCACTTTTAGAAACAACTTATTAAGATATTATTTAGATAAAATAATATTCACCCACTTTAATCATAGACTTTGATGAACTGTGGTACTTGTGTACAATTGTGTAACCACAGTCAAGTTATAGAATAGCTTTTTCATCTTAAAATCTTCCTTACTGGGGCGCCTGGGTGGCTCAGTGGGTTAAAACCTCTGCCTTCGGCTCAGGTCATGATCTCAGGGTCCTGGGATCGAGCCCCACGTCGGGGTCTCTCCTCAGCAGGGAGCTTGCTTCCCCCTCTTTCTCTGCCTGCCTCTCTGCCTACTTGTGATCTCTGTCAAATAAATAAAACCTTAAAAAAAAAAACCTTACTGTCCTTTGCAGTTGACCCTCCCCGACCCCTGACCCCAGCCTACCACTGATCTCCTTTCTGTCGCTATAGTGTTCTTTTCTAGAATTTCATATAAATAAAATTATAAAATACACGTTGTGCTTGGTTTCTTGACTTACTAATAGCTTTCTGATATTCATGTTTGTGTGTGTTAATATATTATTCCTTTTCATTGCTGGATAATAACCCACAGAATGGCTAAATTCCACTTTCTGCCCATCCCAGTGCCACTCACTGTGTCAATCCATGCACTATTATTTCTTGTCTAACTATTGTCTTCCCTCTATTTAATTTCTCCCTATTTTTATTTTTTTTAATTTTTTAAAAAAGATTTTATTTATTTGACGGCAGAGATCACAACTAGGCAGAGAAGCAGGCAGAGAGAGAGAGGGAAGCAGGCTCCCTGCTGAGCAGAGAACGCGATGTGGGGCTCGATCCCATGACCCGAGCCGAAGGCAGAGGCTTTAACCCACTGAGCCACCCAGGTGCCCCTCGTTCTCCCTATTTTTAGTTCAATTCTATTCCAGTCATCCTCCACACTGAAACTAGATTCTTTAAAAATGCAAGTATCATGGTTTCCTTTCCTAAACAACAGTTTTTTATTTTGGCATAGTTCCAAGAGTTTGTTTGCTTTGGTTTCCTTGTCTAAGGAGACATATCCATAAATAGGTTGTTAAAGCTAATATCCAAGAAATTATTGCTTATGGTTGTTGTTGTTGTTAGGAGTTTTATGGTTTCAGGTCTCCCATTTAGGTCTTTAATCCATTTTGAGTGTGTGGTGTAAGACAGTGGTTCAGTTTCATTCTTTTGAATATAGTCCAAAATGAATAAAGGAATAAAAATATGTTAAAAAAAACTCATTTTCTCCTGGTTATAAAGATACTCATATTGTTTCCTTAAAGTTTTAAATCCTGCTTCTTAAACATGGATTTTTTTTTTAATTTTATTGATTTATTTGAGAGAGACAGAGATAGCAACAGAAATGCCGAGAGAGAGCAGGAGCAGGCAGAAGCAGGCTCTGCATTGAGCAGGGAGCAAGACTCAGGGCTCGATCCCAGGACCCTGGAATCATGACCTGAGCCGAAGGCAGATGCTTAACTGACTGAGCCACCCAGGTGCCCCTTAAACATGGATCTTTAAAATATCTGGAATTTTATTTTTGCACATAGTGTGAGATAGTAATCAAAATTTTATTATTTTCTGTTGGAAAAACCAGTTTGCCCAAACACCATTTATTGACTAGCTCAGCCATTCCTCTTTGGTTTGTAATGCCGACCCTATCATATATCATGTTTTCATTCTTCTAATTTATATATAAGTATTCTACTGGTCTATTTCTTTATCCTTGGACCAGTACTATACTGTTTTAGTTACTATGGTTTTATACTATGGTTTTTTTAAGTTTTATAAGAAGCCTTAATATCTTATAGGGCAAGTTACTTTCTACCTTAGGAAAATTGTGTGGGCAAGTCTTATTCTCTCTTTCAGCAAAATTTAGAACCTACATCTTAGGTGACACACACTCAAATTGTTGGGGTGTTAGCTGGAATTACGTTAATATGGGGAGGATTGACATCTTTAAAATATTGTTGTCCCACCTCTGAACATGCTACATGTCTTCATTTTTCTAGATCTTTCAAAAGCTTTTTTTGATTAATAGAAACATAATCAATTTTTACATTCTGCCTTTGTATCCTAAATCTTAGTGAAATTTTTCATGAAAGTATTGTTTATCTATGGATTTTTTTGCATTTTCTACATAGAAATTTTATCATATATAAATAATGACTGTATTTTTTCATCCTTTCCAATATATATATATTTTTTAAGATGTTACTTTTAAGTAATTTCTATACGCAACACAGCCCTCGAACTCACAACCCCAAGTTCAATGGTCATATGCCTTACCAACTGAGCCAGCTAGATTCCACTTATTTACTTACTTACTTACTTACTTATTATTTTGCTTGTCTTACTATGTTAGCTAGCAATGCCAGGAAAATGATGAATAGAAATGGTGATACCTGAAATACTTGTTTTGTTCTCAATTTAAAATGATTATTTCGGGGTGCCTGGGTGGCTCAGTGGGTTAAAGCCTCTGCCTTCAGCTCAGGTCGTGATCCCAGGGTCCTGGGATGGAGCCCCACATCGGGCTCTCTGCTCAGCAGGGAGCCTGCTTTCTCTTCTCTCTCTGCCTGCTTCTCTGTGATTTCCATCTGTCAAATAAGTAAATAAAATCTTTAGAAAAAAAAATTATTTCTAACACTTCCCAATGAAGTATTACATTTACATTCAGAGTTTGATATTTTGTAACAAGTTATACAACTTCCTCCCTATTCCTCATATGCCAAGAAATTTTATCATGAAAGCAGGTTGAATTGTATCAAATGCTATTTTTACATTGAGATGATTTTTCTTCTTAAACTTGTTAATATGATACATTGCACATTAAACGTGTGTGTTGGATTCAGTTTTATAATTTTACCTTTGTGGCCTCAAAAGACTGACTCTCTCAGTGTATAAAAGCTGTATACTATATGCCATGTGAGGCTGCATTCTTATATAATTTTTATATCTTGTGCCTATGGTTGGTTTAATTTCCTCCTTCCTAAACTCTTAATTTTTTAATCAAGTTTTTTTTTTTTGGTCTTTTCAAAGGAACAGATTTTGGTTTATTTTTAATTCTGTTCGAAACTTAATGATTTCTAATCTTTTTGCTTCTAGTTCTTTCCAATGCCTGTAGCCACATGTAAGGTTCTTTTCTGGACAATATTCTGAAACCTGGTTATTTCTTTGCTTCTGCGCCCTCATGCCTCCCTCTCAATTTAAAGACAAGTACCTTGAGGCCATAAGGCTTGGGTAGGTACCTTATTATACCCTTAATCTTATCTCTAGTGCAGGGCAGAATCTTTTTTTTTTTTTTTTTTTTCAAAATTTTTTATTCTGAGAGTGAGTGAGCGAGATGGAGAAGGAGCTAGGGGAGGAGCAGAGGGAGAATCAGACTCCCTGATGACACGGGGCTCAACCCCAGGACTCCAGAATCATGACCTGAGCTGAAGGCAGATGCTTAACCGACTGAGCCACACAGGCGCCCCAGAATCTTTTTTTTTCTAATTGAGGTAAAATTAGTACTTTAAAGTATATAATTCAGTGGCGTTTAATACATTCATAAAGTGTATACCCAACATCTTACTAGTTCCAAAACATTTTCATCCCCCAAAACGAAGCCTCATACCCATTCATCAGTTATTCCCCTGCACCTAGGAACCACTAATTTGCTTTCTGTCTCTACGGATTTACCTATTCTGGCTATCTCATGTAAACCAAATCATATGATCTATTGGGTGTCTGGCTTCTTTCATGTAGCGTGTTCTCAAGCTTCATCCACGTTACAGCATGC